GTATATATTTATATACACATTATTTATACATAGGTGTGTGTGTCCATAATTCTTTAATTCTTAATAATTTTCCAGGTAGGCCAGCCAGTGTGTATCATTTTTTTTACTTTCTTTTTTTAAATTATTAATTAATTAATTTTTGTTACAGATGTTTCTCTTTTTCCTCCCACTGATTCCCCCCACCCTGTCCCCAGCTTTGTTATCCATGTCCATTGTTCATACATACATGCATATAAGTTCTGTGGTTTATCTCTCCCCCACCACCCCCTCTTCTGGGGATTGTCAGTCTGTACCCCACTTCCACATCTCTGGGACTACCCCATTCCTCAGACTGTTATGTTCATTATATTCCACAAATAAGTGAGATCATATGATACTTGTCTTTCTCTGTTTGGCTTGTTTCGCTTAGGATACTACTTTCCAGGTCCCTCCATGTCATCTCAAAGGATAAAAGATCTTTCTTTCTTACAGCTGCATAGTACTCCATTGTGTATATGTACCACAGCTTTTTTATCCATTCATCTACTGATGGACATTTGGGCTATTTCTAGATCTTAGCTATTGTAAATAGTGCTGCTACGAACAAGGGGGTACATACATTCTTCCTGATTGGTGTTTCAGGCTTCTTAGGGTGTATTCCTAGAAGTGGGATCACTGGGTCAAATGGAAGTTCAATTTTTAATTTTTTGAGGTAACACCATATTGTTTTCCATAGTGGCTGTACTAGTCTGCATTCCCACCAGCAGTGTACTAGAGTCCCCTTTTCTCCACACCCTCGCCAACACTTGTTTGATGATTTGTTGATGGCAGCCATTCTGACAGGTGTGAGGTGATACCTCATTATTGTTTTATCTTTTTTCTTAAGAAATTTTATTAAGTTTTCTTGTAGGGTTATAATCTAATTAAGAACTTTTACAGGTATTTTTTCTAAATTTCAGGCATTTGGAACAATATACAAGTTAAAGAGTATTTTATTCCAATTTGTGTTAAGTATAGCCTTTCAACTTGAAGATTTATAGAAAAATTAAGATGAAAGAAACAGTCTTTATCATACATTCATTAAAAATACAATACATATCATAAATCAGTTTGTTCAGGCCTAGGTAATTCTTATTTTACTGGTCTTTGGTTAAGCAGTCTACTTTCACAAAATCTTTTTGTTTTCCGGCTTAAAATGTGTTATAAATTCTAACTCTTTCCCTTTTTACAATCTAACAGATGTCTGTTTGAGATGATGCTGTCAGCTAATACAGATAGATCTGTACATATAAATCTACTCCCAGTAGTATCATTAATCAAAAGTAACTGATAAAATTAATTACTGAGGTCATTTTGATGTTTCTTTTAGTAGTCTCAGTTTTTGCTTATAGCTGTGGCTTTTAGACAGTTGTATGAAAAAAATCAGAAACCATCTTTAGATGATAAGTGTGAAGGGCTTTGGTTAACCAGTTATAATTGCCAATAATATAATAATGAATGGAAGTGGAATCCTTTGTAAATATTTCATAAAGATTTAACCAAAAATTCACTCAAGAGAATGAAAACATATTATAGAAATTGAAGGCATTGATGGTTCTCCAGACTCTTTTAGCACATCCAGTCAAACGTATGTTGCGATTGTCATCAACTGACAAGGGTAATCAAACCTAGGGAAATATATCATTCTTGATAAAGAGGGTCAAGTTTTGACAGTTAATGTTCTAGCCTGGTACAAGAATATTAATACACTTTTCTCCAACCTTAGAAGTATACAATAGCTAAAACATATTCATGTAAGTAAAATATTACTTACATTTAATTACCTTAGGTAACTTGAATTTCTTTTTATTTGCAGGTTCTACTCATATTGTTTGTTTAACACATAGGATCACTCTTAGAATACTGATGTCTGTCAGAAACCCCCCTCATCCCCTGTTTTATAAGTCATGGAGCAAGCTCTTGGTATAATTCAGATCTGTCTGGGAAACTTTAAAGATATTTTGAGTACAAAAGACATATTTTTTTTCAATTACAGTTTATATTCAATATTATTTTGTATTAGTTTCAGGTATATAGCTGAGAGGTTAAACAGTCACTTTATACTTTACAAAGTGTTCCCCTGATATTTCTAGTACCCAGCTGGCTCCATACATAGTTACTACAATTTTATTGAATATATTTTCTGCTGTATTTTACATTCCCATGACTGTTTTGTAACTACCAATGTTATTTCTTAATCCCTTCACCTCTTTTACTCAACCCCACAATCCTCTTCTCTTCTGACAATCAAGTGTCTGTTCTCTATATCTATGAGTCTGTTTCTATTTTGTTTATTTCTATTCTTTAGATTGCACATATAATTAAAATGATATGGTATTTGTCTATCTCTGACTGACTTATTTCACTTAGCATAATACCTTCTAGGTCTATCCATGCTGTTACAGATGGTAAGATCTTGTTCTTTTTTATGGCTAATATTCCATTGTGTATATATACCACCACTTTTTTATCCATTCCTCTATTGATGGGCATTTGGGTTATTTCCATAGCTTGGCTATTATAAATAAAGCTGCAATGAACATAGGGGTTCATATATTCTTTTAAATTAGTGTTTTGAGTTTCTTCAGATATATACTCAGAAGTGGAATCACTGTGTCATAGGCAGTTCCATCAGTAATCCCCATACTGTTTTCCATAGTGGGCTGTACCAATCTGCATTCCCACTAACAGTGCATGAGGGTTCCCTTTTCTCCACATACTTGCCAGTACTTGTTGTTTGTTGTTTTATTGATGATAGCCACTCTGAGGAGTGTGAGGTGGTATCACATTGTGGTTTTAATTTGAATTTTTATGATTAGTGAAATTCAGCATCTTTTCATATATCTGTTGGCCATCTGTATGTACTCTGGAGAAGTGTCTGTTCAGGTCCTTTGCCCATTTTTTAATTGGATTGTTTGTTTTTTTGATGTTGAGTTGTTACAAGTTCTTTATAAATTTTGTAAACTCCTTATCGAATGTTTTCCCATTCAGTGAGTTATCTTTTCATTTTGTTGATGGTTTCTTTTGCTGTGCAAAATGTTCAGTTTGATGCAGTCTCATTTGTTTATTTTTTTCTTTTGTTTCCCTTGCTGGAGGAGATACATCTGAAAAAATATTATTAAGAGAAACATCTGAGATTTTACTTCTTATGTTTGCTTCCAAGAGTTTTATGGTTTTGAGTCTTATATTTAAGTCTTTAATCCATTTTGAGTTTATTCTAGTTAGTATATGATGTAATAGTTTTATTACTTTGAGATTGGGGCCCACATTACAAAATTTAAAAATAAGGTGACAAATGCCTAAAGCCAAGAAGTGGTTATAGATAATATTTATAATAAACTTAGTAGCTCTTAACAGTGGCTATTAGGAACCCTACCTTTTTTTTCCCCATAAATATTTGTATATTATTTCTCTCATTTGATGGTGGATTTGCCTGTATGAATTAGATACTGCATCCATATGATAAATTAGTAAACCTACCAATCAACCAAGGAAAGAGAAAGATGGCTATAAATACTGAATGGGTTATATTTATAAATAGAATATTATAAAAGGCAAATTACCTTCTTTTGATAAGAAAAGCAAAGTTGTTTTTTTTTAAAGATTAAGCGTTTTATTTTTTTGTTTGACGGATTTGAGAGAGAGAGAAACATCAATTTTTTTTCTCTCTGTTTTTATTAACCTCATCCAAGGACATTTTTGCATTTATCTTCCAGATAGAGCAGGAGGGAGAGAGGGGGAAGAGAGAGAGAGAGAGAGAAACATAAATGTGAGAGAGACACATCGAGTGGTTGCCACCCACACAACCCCAACCAGGGCCGGGGACAAACTGCAACCGATGTACATGCTCCTAGTGGGAACCGAACCCAGGACTCTCCGGTCTGCGGGCCGACGCTCTAACCACTGAGCCAAACCGGCCAAGGCAAGAGACATCAATGTGTTGTTCCACTTATTTATGCATTCATTGGTTTATTCTTATATGTGCCCTGACTGGGGATCTAACCCGCAATCTTAGCATATCGGGATGACTCTCTAACCAACTGAGCTACCTGGCCAGGGCTCACTAAGGGTCTTTTTTAATTCACACACATATACACAGAACTAGTAGGTCAGAGGAATGGTGATGTAAGAGATCACCTTGGTCTCTACCCCTGAATCTTTAATAAGTTGATAACTATAACTCAACAAAGGATTCCCTGCTCAATATAGAGGCACAGTGGGGAGACCTACACCTTCAAGCATCTGTAAGTGGGCAAACAGGAGTAAACAGGGTGGCAAGATGGGAGAACAGCTCAGACAGCCACAGACACAACCCTGCAGCTGGGAGCTCATGACCAGCTCAGCCCAGACAGGGGATGAAGCTGGCAGTAGCGGTTGCTTCCTTCTGCCAGGAGGAACAGAGTCTTGGTGGGCAGTCTAGCAGGATGAGCTGTATGAACAGCAGCTGAGCCAGCTGAGAGACTCGGGCACAGACACAGTGCAGAGGTTCTACCACAGCTGTCCACTGTCAAGTGGTTGGTGTTTCAGACAAATGGACAGAGATCTCAGTCTCCCCTTGGACTCACAAAACTTGCCTCCCGTTGCCCTTGATGTTGAGTTGAGGAACACATTATTTGCAAACCAAGAATTATTGCAGCAGAATCACTGTTTCCCTCTGTGACTGATCCCCAGTTGGTGTGTGTGGGAGGGGACCTGGTGGAGGGGTTGCCATTACCATGAAGGCAAAACTAACCCCACCCCTAAGCAGCAGGGCTGTGCTGTCTGACAGCAGCCGCAGAGGTCAGCTATAGATTTCACAGAGATAAAAATCTTGTAACTCATCCCCAGTCGCTGAGCTGCCACCGAGGACTCAGCAACCTTCCTCTCTAGCCCCCCTCACTTACAGGTGGTCAATCCCTGCTGCCTGCTTTTTTTGGGGGGTGGGGAGGTACGTGCCCTTAGCAGGAACCGAACCGGGACTCTCTCTCTGGTCCGCAGGCTGACGCTCCAACCGCTGAGCCAAACCGGCCGGGGCTCTGCTGCCTGCCTTTTCCTGCCACAGCCTTCCACAGGCCTTTTCCACCGAGGAAAAGGAATCGTATCGTATGTCTACTATCCAGAACCTCTACTCTGGACCCCTCTACTCTACCAGCAACCCCTTTGCTGATGTAAGTAAGAGTGATGATCTGCTTCCTGCTGGGACTGAGGATTATATCCATATAAGAATTCAACAGAGAAACAGCAAGAAAACCCTTACTACTGTCCAAGGGATCACTGATGATTATGCTAAAAAGAAACTAGTGAAGGTATTTAAAAAGAAATTTGCCTGTAATAGTACTGTAATTGAGCTTTCAGAATGTGGAGGAGTAATTCAGCTACAGGGTGACCAATATAAGAACACATGCCAGTTCCTTGTAGAGATTAGACTGGCTAAGGACCACCAGCTGAAGGTTCATGGGTTTTAAGTGATTTTGTCTCACTGAAGCTTAAATAGGATTTTTTTGCAATGAATAGAATTTCTCTTCTGTCCCTTGTTACAAGTTTAAAAACCTCGCAGCTTGTATAACATAACCATTTGGGGTCTGCATTTAACTTGGACTAGTATAACCCCATGCAATAAACTGAAGAGCCAAAAAAAAAAAAAAAATCTTATGATTTAGCACCACTTACTGGAAAGTAGCAGAAAGTCCTCTTCAGAGAAAGCTGCTAGAGAAGCTGCTAGAAGGGCCAATAATACATAAATGCCTACACAGAGGAGACCAGCAAATACCATGAATAACCACAGTAGCCAGGCAGCTCAGAAAGAAAATGAAAAATCTCCAGAAAGCAAACTGGAACACATGGAAATATGTAATATAAATGACAGAGAATTCAAGATTGCAGTTCTGAAAATACTCAATGAGATGGAAGAAAATACTGGCAGGCAATTTAATGCATTCAGAAAACAAATTAATGAAGAAAATGAGTAATTAACCAAAGAGATTGAAACTTTTATTATTATTTTTGGTACGTGTCCCTAGCGGAAACGGAACCTGGGACTTCTGGTCTACAGGCCGATGCTCCAACCACTGAGCAAAACCAGCCAGGGAAAGATTAAAAATTTTAAAAAGAACCAATCAGAAATCCTGGAAACGAAGCATTCATATAAGGAGATTAGGAATGAACTGTTGAGCATAGGAAACAGAGCTGACCAGATAAAGGAAAGAATTAGTGATATATCAAAGATGAGGATCTAGAAATGGTCTAGAGGGAAGAAGAGAGAGGCCTGAGCATAAATATATATATGAAAGAGCTCTACGAGAACTATCTGACTGTCAGAAAAGGCAATATAAGAATAATAGGTATACCAGAAGAAGAGAACTTCCCAAACCCATGGAAAGAACTAGATTTTCAAATCTAAGAAGCAAACAACACCTAGTTACCTCAATCCAAAGAGGCCCTCTCCAAAACACATTGTATTAAAATTGTCAGAAATTAACAATAAAGAAAAAATTCTCAAGGCAGCCAGGGAAAAGAAGTGACCTACAAAGGAAAACCCATCATGGGATCATTGGACTTAGAAACTCTACGAGCCAGAAGAGACTAGAACCAAATATTCAAATGATTGAAAAAGAAATTACCGGTCAAGAATAATATATTCAACAAAGTTATTCTATAAATATGAATGAGAAACACTTTCCAACACATACAGAAGCTGAAAGAATTTATCATCAGAAAACCTCTATTGCAGTCAATACTCAAGGGATTATTCTACCTGAAATAAAGAACATAAGGTCACGACATTATAAGTAAGATCATCAAAAAACTTACAGCATAAACAGGGATAATTTGTGACAACAAAAAGGAGAGGGGATAAAGGTCTGAAAGGAAGATCAAGATTATATACACTCAAAAGAAAAAAACTGTACATATGCAACTTCCACACAAAAACCCCAAAATTGAGACACGTAGCTTAAAAAAAGAAAAAAGGCCCTGGCTGGTTTTGCTCAGTGGTTAGAGTATCAGCCCATACACCAAAGATCCTCAGGTTGAATTTCCGGTCAAGGACACGTATCTGGGTTGCAGGTTTGATCCTTAGCCCCAGTCAGCCAGTTGATGTGTCTCTCTCACATCAATGTCTTTCTCTCTCTCTCCCCCTCCCTCACTTTCTCCCTTCCACTATCTCTAAGAATCAACGGAAAAAGTATCCTCGGGTCAGTATTAACAACAAAAAAAAGAGGAAAGGAGTATGGAATACCACCAAATAAAAACAACAGACCAAAACAACAAGGCAAAGAACGATGGAGGCACAAAGCTACCAGAAAATAAAGGATAAAAGGAGGTCCTCATCCATTAGTAATTACCCTAAATGTAATTAGACTAAGTTCATGAATAAAGAAATGCCAAGCCCAGGCCGATTTGGCTCAGCAGTTAGAGCACTGGCCCGAGGACCAGAGAGTCCCGGGTTTGGTTCCCGCTAAGGGCATGTACCTCAGTTGCAGTTTGTCCCTGGCCTTGGTTGGGGTCATGTGGGTGACAACCACTCGATGTGTCTCTTTCACACTGATGTTTCTCTCTCTTTCTCTCTTCCTCTCTCCTTCCCACTCTATCTGAAAATAAATGCAAAGTTGTCCTCAGGTGAGGATAAAAAAAAAAAAAAGGAACACCAAGTAGCAGATTGGATCAAAAAACCAAACCTTACCATATGTTTCCTTCAAGAGACACATCTAAGCCCTGGCCGGTTTGGTTCAGCGATGAGAGCATTGCCCACAGACCAAAGAGTCACAGGTTCAATTCCAGTCAAGGGCACATACCTCAGTTGTGGTTCAATCCCTGGCCCTAGTTGGGGTCATGCAGGAGGCAATCAATCAATATGTCTTTCTCACATCAATGTTTCTCTCTCCCTCCCACTGTGAAAATAAAACGAGAGAGAGAGAAAGACATCTAACCTGCAAAGACAAAGGTAGATTCAAAGTGAAAAGGTGGAAAATGATTCTCCAAGCAAATAACATCCACAGAAAAGTAGGTGTAGGCCATACTTATATCTGACAAAATAGATTTCAAGATAAAAAAAGTAACAATACACGGATGGACATTTTATAATTATAAAGGGATACTATCAAGAAAGTATAACACTTCTTTTTTTTTTTTTTTTTTTTTTTTATCCTCACCCGAGGACATTTTTCCATTTTTTGTTCAGATAGAGCAGGAGGGAGAGAGAGAGAGAAAGAGAGAGAAACATCGATGTGAAGGGACACATCGAATGGCTGCCATCCGCACGACCCAACCAGGACCGGGGACAAACTGCAACCGAGGTACGTGCCCTTAGCAGGAACCGAACCCGGGTCTCTCTGTACCGCAGGCTGACGCTCCAACCGCTAAGCCAAACCGGCCAGGGCGACACTTCTTAATATATATGCACCCAGTCTGGGAGTACTGAAACATATTTAAAAACTCACAGAGCTAAAGAGATAAACAGATCAAAACACAATCATGGTTGGGGACCTTAATACTCCATTGATAGCTCTAGATACATCATCCAAACAAAAAATCAACTAAGGAAGATCAGCCTTAAATGACACATTAGGCAAAATGGACATAATTGACATTTACAGAGCCTTTCATCCCACAACACCAGAGTATACATTCTTCTCCAGTGCACATGGAACATTCTCAAGGATAGGCTGTATGTTGGGTCACAAAACTAGCCTCAACAAATTGAAGATTGAAATTATGCCAAGCATATTCTCTGATCACAATGCCTTCAAATTAGAAATCAACTGCAAAAAGGAAGTACAGAAACCCACAAATATGTAGAGATTAAACAACATAGTACTAAAAAATGACTGGGTCAAAGACAAAATAAAAGATGGGATCAAAAGATATAGAAAGACAAATGAAAAACACACAGCAGAATTTCTGGAATGCAGCAAAAGCAGTAATAAGAGGGACATTTATGTCATTACAGGCCTATCAAGAAACAAGAAAAATCCCAGGTAAACAACCTAATGTTACATCTTCAAGTACTAGAAAAAGAACAAAAGGAATTCAAAGTCAGCAGAAGAAAGGAAATAATAAAAATTAGAGTGAAATTGAATGAAATAAGAGAGCAAAAAGACTATATAACAAATTAGTACAACAAAGAGCTGGTTCTTTGGAAAGATTCATAGAATTGACAAACCCCTGGCTAGACTCACTAAGGAAAAAAAGACCCATATAAACAAATTCCGAAATGAAAGAGGAGTTATCACAGATAGTCAAAGGATCATATTGGAATACTATGAAAGACTGTATGCCACCAAATTCAGTAACCTAGAAAAAATGGATAAGTTCCTAGAAATATATAACCTTCCTAGACTAAATCATGAAAAATTGGAAAATCCAAATAGACCAATCAGCAGTGAGAATATTGAAACAGCCATCTAATACCTACAAAAAAAAAAAAAAAATGAAAGTCCAGGACCAGATGGCTTCACCAGTGAATTCTGTCAAGTATTCAAAGAAGATTTAAACCCCTTCTTTCTAAACTTCTTCAAAAAAAATTGAAGAAGAGGCCATTCTTCCTAGCACATTTTATAAGGCCAACATAACCGTAATACCAAAACCTGGCAAAGGTAACATGCACAAAAAGAACACTACAGACCAATATCTTTAATGAATACAGATGCAAAAATCCTAAACAAAATGCTAGCAAATCGAATACAACAATACATCAAAAAAATAATAATAATACATCATAGTCAAGAGGGGTTCATCCTAGGGGCACAAGGATGCTTCATTGTACACAAATCAGTCAGTGGAATGCACCACATTAACAAAAGAAAGGATAAAAGTCATACAATCTTATCAGTAGACACCAAAAACATTTGATAAGATAGAACATTATGGTTAGAACGCTCAATAAAATAGGAATAGAAGGAAAGCACCTCAACATAATAATAGCCATATATGACAAACCCTCAGCCAATATAGTACTCAGTGGCAAAAAAGGGAAAGGTTTCCTCTATCAGGAACAAGACAAGGATGGCCCACTCTTACAACTCTTATTTAACATGGTTTTGGAAGTCCTAGCCAGAGCAATAAGGTGAGAGAAAGATAGAAAAGGCATCCAAATTGGGAATGAAGAAGTACTGTAAAAGTGTTACTTTTTGTAGATGACATGATGCTGTACATAGAAAATCCTGAAGACTCCACCAAAAAACTATTAGAAACAATAAACAAATACAGTAAAGTTTGGGATATAAAAATTCACTGCCTTCCTGTATACTAACAATGAAACTTCAGAAAAATAAATGAAAAAAGCAATTCCTTTTGCAGTTGCAATCCAAAGAATAAAATACCTAGAAATATAAACCTAAACATGAGAGAGCTGTATACTGAAAGCTACAAAGAGTTACTAGAAGAAATTGAAGAATACATAACAAAAAGGAAAAATAAACTTAACAAAGGATGTGAAAGACCTATATACTGAAAACTATTAAATATT